AATTATTCTTTTTATGACTAAATATATTAAATGATCTGAATGGTGGAATAAAAAATATCCTTACTATATTCAGTAAGGACACCAAGGCAGATGCAGGAGGGGGTTTGGAATTGGATTAGACCTTAAAAATAAAAGAAGATTGGGAAAAAAAAAGGAAAAAAAATATTAATTTGAGAACTTTCAGAAAGAATGGCCAGAAGTCTTGAAAATTATTGTCAAAGGAAGCATGAGAAAAAGGGGTCAATGCAGTTTAGTYTGAGAGGAATCATGTCAAGTTTTCAAATATGTGCAGGTGTAATGAGGCATGAATAGCTGGCATTTCTGCTTTGTAGGATGATAGAGATTTATCACAGCTTCTTAGATTAATTATCTTTGGATAAGTCAGAAAAAATGTCCTGTGGTTGGAATCCCAGGGCACTGGAACAGTTTGCTGAGGTCAAATATGAGGTTTCTGCAGTGCTGCTTTCTGTGGCTGATAGGCAAGTGCTCTGCACAAACTAAATAATGGCTGAAATTAAAAGAGAATTGTTCTGTTAGGCTTTTAAACAGAAAAAAGGCAGTCTCATACATATATTTTTATCTGAAAGAACTAATGGAAATTATGTCATTTAATAGGCTAAAGGGCAATGAAGCTTTKGTTGCCACAAAGATAAAGGCATGCAATTTTCATGATTTAGATGGGGGAAAAAATTGTGTATTGCTTTCAAGATCAAAAGAAAGTACAAAGAAAAAAAAGTTATTTCCAAGGATGTTGTATAAAGTTCACAGCCTCTTTCCATCTCTATCTCTTAAGTTCAGTTTTGTGACATGGAAGTTCACTACTAAGCAATGACTTTCAGGAAAATATTCCTAAGAACCTGAACCTTGTTCCTTTTCATGTTATTTGATCTCGTATAACTTAAAACATACTCAGAACAGTGACTGCACTGAAAATCTCTTCAAACTGCTTGGACTACAAGAGACATGTCTTTTATTCTCTTCTCCTGTTTGCATATAGAGTGGGTTTTTTCACCTCTAAGTGACGTGGCCCATATACACACGGCAACAAAAATGAATTTGAATCATCCCTTCTCCTCTGAAATGTAGATTGTGTGATGATCTCAGTTGCAGACCAGATCCTAGCTTTTAYCTGTATTAACAGACCTCTGTTTCAGTGTTTCTCTATGGTTTTAAGCTTCCAAGAACCCTGTTGTCCCGATATAAAGTTCCTAATAGATTTTAAGCAGTGGCACATCAAGGGAAAAGTGCTGAAGTGATGTAGTTCCACATATTCCACTTAATAAGTCAARCACATTTTGAAAGAAACTGTGAAGGCTTATACTCACTGCTTTGCCCTTAACTTGCTACCACAGTTTATTTTCTCRGATGAAATAAGGTTTCAGAAGCTGCTTTGAGACCATACATTGGCAGGAAGTACAGAAATTGTGGGAATTTAGTGTTTGACTCTTTTCAGTACTATAAAGCTCTCAGAACTGGGACAGAGAATACAAAATCTCTCTAAAAGCCTGTCAGAGAAAAATGTAACTTATCATCAGGCTGAAGCCTGAGGCCTGGGCGCATTGTTGGGATGTTCTCAGGGAATCAGACCGGCAGGAAGGGGCTGCATGAGGTCTCTCATCCAGCTCCTACTCAAAAGCAGTGTCAGCACTGACTGAATTTAAACCAGACCTTGCTGTTCAGGTCTAGAAAAACATCAGGGTTAGAGATTTCCCAGCCTCGCTGTGCAATTCACCCCAGTCTTTAATTGTGCTCGTAGAGAATCATTTTCCCCTGCTTTGGTTAGTGACCCTTGCTGGCACCACCTTCTGAATTCCCCACGTGAAARCACTGTCCTGCTCCTCTGGGGGATCACTTATGTTTGCCAATTGAATAATTGCACAATTTATTGGGGCCCCAAAAGGGACACAGTGCTCCAGATGTGCTCTGATTCCACACAGGACAGGTCAAGGTGAGCGATGATCTCCTCATGGTTTGCCTTCATCCCTGCCACTGTTTCTTCCTGCTTCCCTCCCTGACAATCTCCAGCCCTGTTTAGGGGAGGGATTAGTCCACCCATTAGTCCATTAGTCCATCCCATATTCAGTACTTTAGGGCTATTCCTGCTGGATTTTGTGGTGTTCCTTCAGCCACTCGAAGCACACTGACACAGTGCCTCTGCTGGGGTCATCCTCAGGCTCGATGGTGCTGCATCCAATCTCCTTTAGTGCACAGTTTTGTAAACAACAAAATGCAAAATCTAAAGGCTCTAGCTAAATTAGATTGATAATAACCATGTTAATTTTTTTTTTTTTTAACACTAAAAAAAGAAAATTAAAAAAATTACTGTGAGGTACCATCACTGGCAGCTTCCCAGGAGTATATTTTATTTTGTTTATTTGCGTCTGCTTTGAATGCTACCTGTTTGTGCAACTTCTCATGGAAAAATAATTTAAAATAATGAATCTTAAATGCCTTTAATTTCAAAGGATGTTCATTTMGTTTCCTGGTTCTTTTACACTAAAGGCTTTATTATCAGAGGGGATGTTACARCTAATGAGACCACACAGTGATATGCTTGTGTTTCAACACAATCCCRTTAGAACTTCAGTAATTTAAACTGCATTTTGAAGCAAAAATATCTGAAAAGAAAGTTCAAAGAAATTTAAACATATGAAACACTGTAATKCTTAATCAGGTTGGGATACATATTATTATTGCAATGATAATAATAATTTTTAAACAATTTGCTRTTATTAAAGTTGATCATGTGAAAATCATGATTAGGCAGCATTGTCTAGTTTGAAATGTGTTTTCATTCCAGGGGCTTGGACTAAAGTAAATATTGATGTATGTATTAATAACAAAGTGAATTAAGAAAAATGGAATTAAACTAGATWCTATGAGAAAGCTTCATTTTGAATATTCCTCTATCTATTATTAAAATGGAAGTTAAATTAGGAGAATCCAAAAATGTATCCACTTGAAACTGAAGTGTCTTCTCCTCTGACTTAGCAGTGAATCCACCAGTGAACTGATACCACCAGAGACCATTCAAAGGAGACTTTCAAGTGCTTTTTAATTATTGGTTAGGTGTTACACATTCCTCTTGCTTTGGAATAGTGTCTCAGGAGCTGTAAACCAAGATTTATTTCACTGAAACTTTTGATCTTTTTTTCCTTCAGCAAATATTGATTTAATTTTTCATACTTCTCCCAAAGAACAAGCCAAGAAACTAATGGACTGCACACTTTGATCTTTGTCAGATGATGTCAGCAGCAGTGAATGTCAGGGTGAATCCACAAATAGAGGTTAACCTGCTGCTTTTCTCCCTGAGTGTTTAGCACTGGGCACCTGCAMCAGCATTTAAGCTAGAAGTCAAATGGAGATTAAATGGTTGTTTTTTTAAGAGATACTACTGAACTAAGTTTTGGTTCATTTCACAGCAATCCTGAGAAAAAACACAAGCAGCTTTTTATGCTTCTGAGTTAACAAGTTTGCATGATCACCAGGAAATTTGTTTATGTGTTTCTTGTCAGGTTCTATGTTACAGTTCTAAGAACCCTACACATATAGAATCCAAACTGAAATTTCACAGACCTCACAGGACATATGGGAACTCAAAAAATCAGAAATTTTAACTTGTTCCACAGCTGATTATCCTACTGGCCATGGAACAGTTCTTTCTGAGGAAATGGAATTCCTCACTGCACTGCCCATGGATTGGTTTGAAGTGCCCTGGAAGGGGAATGTGCAGCTTCCCCAGTGCTCGTGCATCATTGGGATATGAAGGGATTTCAGGCACAGGGTATGGTTTGTGGGTTGTTTTTTTTTTTGTTCTTTTTTTTTTNTTTTTTTGATTTTGGTACTCTTTGGGTTTGTGGATATCATGTTCTGTAATCTAAGACCACTCTGACTCCCAGTGACACATCATTCTTTGACCCTGCTCCACTCAGTTGCATTTCCCAGGTGTTCGTTCCAGCTGCTGCTCAACAGCAGGAATGGGAATGTGGACATTTTTTTTTCCTTCCCAGGGAGGCAAAATACTACTTAACACTRTTTAAAAGAGACAACAGATGGGGAGACTGTTTCTCAAAATAATCCTCCCTAATGGACATTGCAGTCACAATCCTGCAGAAAGGAGGAGGAGAAAAAATCTCTGCAGCATCTGTGAAAGGAAATCCTGGGAAAACAAATAAATTAGGCTCTTTTAAACAGACAAACGACTGCCCCAAGTTATTTATGCACAACAGCATTTGCTTAGTTWCTTCTTTCTGTTTTATTTATGGATGGTTTAACTGAGTTTTCAGATGGTTCTGTCAGATCACATTCCCAGCCCTGGTTCTTTTGCACTGCTTCAATGTATGGACAGAAATTTGCTTGAGCAGCTGGGGAATTCTTGGCATCAGGATCCCAAAGGTAGTGCCAGCCAAGCTGAGGCCACTGGTTCCATGGTTTTTGCCACTTATCCCTGTCCTTTTCACCAACGTGGAAAGCAAAAGGCTGAGAGAATTCACCCTTTTCCTGTTTGCAATGCCATCACATATACAAATCTATCCCGTCACTTCTGCTCTCCTTTTGGCAGTGAATAAACTATTAATCTGTAAAACTTCACGGAGTTCTAGTGCTTTTCTCAAACAATTTTTTTAGTGTAATTAAACCATATTTTCTTTATTCTATTTGTTGATCTGGGCAGTGACTCATATATTCCTTTGTAGTGTCTAGAGGCTAATTATACTCCTTGTTCTATGTTGTAACATTCATTACAACTGTTCTCTAACATTTTGGTTCTGTTTTTATGAGCAGATAGTTCTCTCCTTTTTCACAGCTATTTTTCAAAAATCTTGCTATTTTTGGAATTTGCATATTCATTGTTTGATTGGGTCTATTAAATTGTATGGAAATAAACATGGATTTTCCCTGTAGCAAAATGTCACAGAATGAGCTCCAGTGCTGCTAAAATCAGTTAAACTAGGGAAAAAAAAAAAAAAAAAAAAAAAAAAAAAAAAAAAAAAAAAAAAAAAAAAAAAAAAAAAAGAGTGGGCTGGAAATAGGAATAAGAACAGATGGCCTAAGTTAGCATTTTTAGATATTATATTACATAAAGTGGTAGGAGGGAAACTAAAGAGGTAAATAGCAACCTTTTTAATAGTAGAAGTGTTCTGTTGATACTCTCTCTTTATTGTATGGATATGGAAACTGCAAACCACACTGCTAAATAGTACAAATTTCAACACTGAAATTAATATTAAATTGGTTAAATTGTAATTGTAAGGATACCTACAACAATTATGAGAATCTCTGTGGTTTTTAAAGACTTTTGCGTTTATCTGAAAGAACACATTCATTATTTTATATGATCAGATCTGCACAATAATATCCTTCAGAGAYACTCTGCCACACTGTGTCTCCAAAGGAGTGTCTGCAGCTTCTTTCTTGAAGCTGTCTACCACACTTCATGTGTGACTTCTCCAGAGCCTGACTCTTTATTTAGGAGCTCAGTTACTACCCAAACTTTTGTAACATTGCCAAGAAACTTCCAGTTGAATGCTGGCAGCACTTCTTATTTTATTGTGTGACAAGAAAAACAGTGTAGATTCACTTGCCTTTTTTTCTTTTGGGTTGTGTTCTTTTGTTTGTTTGTTTGTTTGTTTGTTTTTTGTTTGTTTGGTTGGGGTTTTTTTTTTTTTCCAGGGAAAATTTATTCAATGTACTGGCTGGGACAAGACAAAAGCCTTTTTTTTGTGTGTGTGTGTGTCAGTATGTGGAACCTGGACCCCATCCTCAGGGGATTGTTAGATTGTCACTGGCATCATTTTAGAACACAACCATATATATAAGATTAGAGAATGTAGGTCATGTCTAAAAGCGTAAAGGAGAGTCCCAGAGATGCAATGATTCTGAGATTATCTGGGGAGGTGGTTAATCATTCCATTATGTCTGAGAAAGTGGCAATCCAAAACCCTGAGGTATTTTGAAGTACTCAGCATTAGAGAACAGGTTAGGAYATGTTCTTGGGAAGTATGCAACGTGGATTTCCATTTATTTAGGTAGAGGAGGCCTTGAACCTGTGACAGAAATGAATTGTTAAAGTTGGGGTATTTTAGTTAGAGGAGAAATCAGCCATGTCGGAGATTTGACAAAACATCCTGCTCCCCTTGTGCTCCAAACCCACCAGCAGTGGGATTAGCCAGGGTGAGCCTGGGAGCAGGACACAGGGTGCTGCTTCTGATGGTGCTCAGACCTGGGARCAAAGGCAGAACAGGAGCATCAGCAATGTCCTGCTGGTCCCATCCCAGCCCCACAGCAGCTGAATGACCGCTCTCAAGGGTCACACATCAAAAACATGCAACCTGCACCTAAAATCAAAGCTCCTTCATTGCCATTGAATCCTCTTATGAGTCTGGGGAAATGCACAGAAGATATAAATAAGAAGGGAAGATGAAGAAAGGGTACAATGAAAAAAAAATAGATCCATGACAAGCATTTCCCTTCCAATGGTTGAGCATTTCAGTGAATCCATTAAGGCCCAAAACACAATTTAAGTTCCCTCTTTACACTGTAAACTTAGTATTGAAGTTAGATGTTCTTCACTAATTTATTAAYTAAGAAACTTTTCCTACTTATTAATTTAAGACATCCTGTCTCTCTATTCCTGTCTAAAGCAATTTTTAATACAAGTATTAAACACATTTCACTGAACCATTTAGTTTGGCCACAATGCATCTGTCCAGTTAGATAACACCTGAATAGCTGGTCACAATTTAGCCATAAACCTCCTTATGACTGTACCTATTTCATATCAAAAATCAGATAGTTTCATTATATTCATGGCCTTGAACAAAGTAATGCTCTCCTGCATTATAAAAAGTAATTTTCCTTTACCTTTTGATGTCTTTGCCTTTCCAAGAAAATGACATTTGCAGTGATAGTCAGAATGTCATGGGAATCAAAGTTCTGTGAGCAGCTATGCTGGGTCATGTTCATCTGTGCAATGAGAATGAATACATAAATGATTTCTTTATTTTTCATTTTGTTTCTGAGTTATGTTTGATATCATKCTGTTATTATATATCTTCCAAGAAGTATTTTCAAACAGAAAATGGGTAATTAAATTCCATAATTTCTTAGGATAACTCGATTTTAATGAGTGCTGTGAATGARGCTCATCATTAACATTTGAGCTGCCTGAAGAAACCATCTCTTCTTTGAGAAGCTTTGTCTATACCAGGAAAAAAAATCAAAATAATTTCCTCTGTGTTTGCTTCCATTTATGCTATTTGTTTAAAAGCACAGGCAAACATTGATAAGAACATGATTCAGATAAATCAGAGACAAAGGTGTTGATCTAGATTAAATATATATATTCATTGGTTCATTCAATAGATACATTAGGAACTGAAATGAAACACATTACAAAATGAAGCTGTGCTGTACCAGACAAAAGGCAGAGCCTCACTTCAGCTGAACTTCGTGTTCCTGAGCTTTAGCACAGTTAGGGCAGGATATTTCAGATTTTCAAGCAGTTTTTAGCTGTCTTTCACAGTATCCATAATCTTTCTTTTTGCTGGCCTACTTGGCTTCTCCCAGGAAGGATTCTGCTGGAAAATTCAGTGCAAGAGCTGCTCTCTCACGTGTTTTCAGTGACTTTTCTAGCCTTTAMTGAATTATGTTTCTGCAATAAATTCTGAATTTCTCCTAAAGCTTTTTCTGAATATTCTCCTGTCTCAAGACCAGGCAAGAATCTGTAAAAATAAGCCATCCATATAAAATCAAACACACCAATAATTTTTGTGGGGGATTTACATTGCATCAGAGGCATCATATGAAAAAAGACCTTAGGAAATGAACMTTTCAAAACCCACAACTCACTACCTAAACTCAACCAAAGATGTTTTTATTCTTTGCAGCTTTTTGGAAAGCCTCTCTTCCTATACTCACTCTCACTTTGTTAGACAATACTGTGCTCTAGCATTTAAATATCTCTTCTTTATCAGTGCTGTCTCAGAGTGATCAAAATTAATCAAAAGCCAGATAAATCTATACACAAATCTCTCCTTATTCAATTGTTGTAGGAGCTAAATGTATTTTCACATCTAGTCTGATTTACTAGTCTTTGTGCCATGTTTATTTTATTGTTGATATAATTTTATAATACTAAGAGGAGAAATATAATTAAAACAAATATATTATTTTGTACTATTTTTACTGTATATTGGCTCCCTCCTAGCAGGCCATGATAATGGTTATGACTTATTTCCAAGGAGGCCAATTTTATTTTGTTGCAAAATAATTTCTGTTTAGGCTAGTGGTAGCAGAGAAAAACTGAAGCCGAGAGACAATCAATATTTTTCTCATAGCAATTGAATCAAATAACACTATCTGTTAAATATAACTGGCTTTGATTTAAATGTTCCCATAAACTTTGTTCCAGCTCTGCTGAGCCTGCAATGTACATTAATCTGTCAGAGGGAGAAAAACACTTGTGGAAATACAATAAACAAGCCAAGGTGAAGAATCTGCCATTATATTATTGATCCAGCAGTGAGTCTGAGTGGAAAAAGAGCTTTAACTGGTCAGTTGTCATCCACAGTCACTGTCTGAAATGTGTTAGTTATTGTAGTTGTATTTTGCTTTTTGAGAACAGTGCCTGACTGCCATAGACCATTCATGTATGATATTAAAATAATATCTAAGATTCTTTTAAAAACTCTCTTCTAGTTCAGGAACCATACACTCTATTTTTTAATTTTAATTGAGTTTATTCCCCTTGATTGGACAGACATTGGAAGAAAAGTGGTGAARTAAAACTCAGTAAAAAACATGCCATGAAGGTTTTCAGTGCTGAGTATATTTGGTTCCTGTGGTTCTGGAAACCTTTCAGACTCTTTGCTATGTGCAAATCTATCAAGCAGCTGCTGAAGTCACGAATCCCTCTTGAGCCAAATCAGCTCCTTTTTTTCTTTTCAGCCACGGGTTAAAGGCTTTGTAAACACACACAGCAAGAAAAGTGAGATGTGTATTGAGTCTTTGCATTTGTTGGATACCAATAGGACAACACTGGTTTCATTTTTATTCTCTCCTTACTTTTGAATTCCTACATGCATTTAAGTTTTATTTTCACTCTCATATTTTTTATTTCCAGAAATAGCTTCTTTTCCACTATTTTGAATAATTATTTTCAATAATGAAAACAAGGGATACATGGATTAACTAGAAGGATTTTTCATTTTGGACAAGCATAATGCAATTTAGGAATTGAACAATTTTTCCCATGGTTACCATTCTCACATGAACTCCATTAACAATTAGAATGCCAATGGCTCATACTGTGCAGGAGAGTAGGAATGGAAAGTTTTAAAACACATTAAATTGCACTAAATCACAATTTAAAAAAAATAGTAATGTGTATAAGCTTGTAATGTAAGTAAACATTTTGTGATTGGGCATAGAAATTGGTGACAGTTTTCATGACAGGTCAGATGCTTCAAGAAAAGATATTCCTACCTATTGATAAGATTTTAGGCAGCAGAACACCTTATGAGCCCAATCTAAATCAATATTAACATGAAATAKTCACAATGAATACAGGGGAACACGTGAATTGATATAAAACGTTGATCTGTTAAATAATTTACAGTACCTCAGTACTTTTTTCCTGTTAATCTATCCCACTTTTAGATTATGCTTCCACTGAATTAACCATCATTTTTTCACAATRAATGGAGAACTTCTTTGTGTATACATTTTTTATTAAAACTGCATGAAAAAGTGATGGTTTCAGTTCARCTATCTAWCAGGAAAGGAAATATGAATTAGWGCAAACCACATAAGCCAAARGTTTCCTTCCTTTTTCTTTTTTTAAATTATCCAGCACTCGAAGCAATAGCAAGGCAACAATTCACAAATTTGCCAAAAGCATAGGGAAGACTTTAAGACCCTTCTTCTCTCTTTTCAGGAAAAAAAAGGGGATGATAAAAAAAAAAAAAAAAAAAAATAGAAAAAAAGAAAAGAAAAAAAAAGAGCTTCTCAAGAATCT